GCGCATCGGTCCGCAAATATCTGTGTGGATAATCTCGAGCAGTTCCGTCTTCCGTTCGGATTTTCTTGGAAATGATGATCGCGTCATCTTTCCCCGGACACAAGTTTCGCAGAATACATCTTCAGATCCCGATTCAATCTTAAGACCAACCACAGTCTTGTCCCGGGCGCATCTTCGTAAATCTTGGAAATTGAGGTGGCCCATCATGTGGTGCCACGTCACGGTTAGCGTTGGTTTTCGCGTCACCTCCTTACAATCGGCCACGTTCGCGTCGTTTTCCCGTTTAGGCGCCTTCAGTAAGTAAAGTCCGTCGCTATCCCTTTCCGCCTGGATCACAGGCTTGCCTGCCGCGTTTACGACTGTCGCCCTCCTTTGGTCGAATATTACTCGAAGTCCGCGATCGCAAATTTTCCCGACCGATAGTAGATTTGCTCTCAATCTCGGAACATATAGAGCGTCTCTGAGTTTCACGTTCAATTCCTCACCATTCATGCGCGAGGGAATCGTCACGCAACCTTTCCCTTCAAAGTCCGCGGAGGCATCACTAGCGAAGTTAATTTTTTCCGTCAGCGATTCGTCGAGCTCACTGAAGTCCGCTTCGTTCCCGCACATATGAGCCGTACAGCCGCTGTCGACGCACCATGCGCCGTCGCCGGACCCCGCGTTTTCGGCTCGCAACGCTTTAGCGTTGCAATTGTCTTTTGTCGTATCCGAATCTAAGGTTGCGCACAACACAACGTTCTTCGCCGCGTTGGCATCATCCGACTCTCGAATGTTTTCCGGACAATCGGCGGCTTTGTGACCCGGCTTTTTACACTTGAAGCACTTGTATTTGAAGGGTTCCTTTGTCGACGCGTTCTTCGATCCCTTCTTCTCCCCGCCGTCCGTCTTCTTCGCCGTATTTCTACCTTTTCCGAACTTTTTCTTATTTACAAACATAGCGTTGGCTGTGTTTTCGCAATCTTGATGCTTTCGAGATTCGCTCTCTTCGATTATTTTCAATCTCAGGGCTTCGGGTGATGGCAGCGTGTCCCGTGACTCTATTGCGCAGCGGAAATTTCCAAATGACGGTGGGAGGCTATGCAATAGCATTATCGACAGGAGATCATGATTTATGTCCACGTCCATTTCGGCTAGTTTGTCGACCGTTTCAAAAAACTTCGCGAGATGATCTCGAACGTCTGAACCTTCGTCCATGTGATGATAAGTCAATTGCCTAATTAGCGTCGCCTTCCTTGCCGGTCCGGATGACTGGAATATCGTTTGTAGTCTCTGCCAAAGTTCACGAGCCGTCCTGCAGTCTTTTACTTGCCGTAATTCTGATGGCTTAATTGCCAGGATGATGTCGGCGCGCGCCTTGCCGTCCTCGGTTTCCCATCTCAGCACTTTCTCCGCCGATTCCTCGTTCCCAGCGACGATCGTCGGCTTCGGTTTCGTGCCGTTTACGTAATTCCATCCGTCATTCTTGAATAATAAAGCCTGCATTTGGATCCGCCAGGTATCGAAATTGTCTTTGTTCAATGGCTCGATTCTCACCGCGTTTGATGACGCCATCGTATTTCGATCACTCTTTCGATGGAACACTCCACGATACACTTGATCACGCTTTCAGTAACAATTTACCACGTGCCGATTTCGTCATGCATTTATCGGATTTCCGCACTTAGCTCTATTTGCGTAAACCTGGGCCCATAACCTATTGATAGGGACATTGCGCAGTAAGTAACAGAGCTTCGTTAAACGCGATTAACGTTTATTTAGTACAAGAACTGAGAATAACTTTCGGTCACAAGAAAAACGAAATATAAGGAACACGGCTCGCTAGCACGCAGTGGCGACGACAGACTACAAGACAGAACTGAAAACAGAAAGTATACAAGAGCGCCCTGACGACGCCAAAGATAATCAACAGCGAGCTTCGCGCTAACGTAACAATGTGAACCATCGAACTGGAATATATCGCACGTGATAACATAGATCTTAACAATTAATCTAAAAAAATTAAATTGTTACTTATTGTTAATCTTTGTAATTGTTAAAGCAAATACTTCCCGTTTATGAATATTTAGTTGTTTTTTATTTAAAAATGTTTTATAGCCGAGTACAATTTATATGCCAATATACCATTTTTTATTTATAATCAAAGAAAGAGGGAAGGAAAAAGAACAAGAAAACAACGATATTTAGTGAAGGAGGGAGGGAGGGAGGGAGAGAGAGAGAGAGAGAGAGAGAGAGAACTTTGTAAAATTATATTTTACATTTCATTTATATTGTTTAATATTTATTTTACATTGTCCATGTTTATTGTTTTCTATGGTTTTATTGTACAACGAATGTTTAACTATTAAATATAAAAAAACTGTTTTATTCATTAACGTTTTTATTATAATATTAATATAGTAATTAATATAAAATAATTGTGAAACAATCTAAAATAAAAATCATGTAAAAAATATTTTTTATATACATATATGTCGCAAATGATTAATCAATATGAAATAAATGTAAAATAAGTATTGTTACGTCCTGTGGACTCCACGATTTCTTTCTTTCAAAAAACCATAAGAGGCATGTTTTTCTTCCCTTGGAAACTACAATCTTATCAATCCACGGATATCGGCTAGGCAATGCACGAGTCCCTTCCCCACAAAAAATTGTTTGCTAGAGTTTCACTTTTCGAAACTCGAAACGTAAAGTGCTCTAATTGTTTGCTGGTCGATAGCCGTTGAAATGATAAAAAGGGAAGAGATAACAGACAGGATGGGATCAGGGCCTTTCAGACGGCAGTTTCGAAATTCAGATTACGATCCGAGACACTAAAAGGGAATTCAAAGAAAAAAGATAAGATAACTTGACCCAAAAGTGAAACTCGGGATTCTTTCGAAATGATGCCCATAAATAAATATCAAAGGGCGACTACGACTTAATGGTCGGGTCGTCAATAAGAAAGACAACTCCTTGACACCTCCCAATAGTCCACCAATGAAGAACCAAAATCCAAAATCTCCTTCCACGTCCCATGACCAGGATCCACCCCCGAAAAACTGTATATAAACCCGGAGCCGGCTCAGTCTCTTTGGCAGCTCTCGAGTCCACCAGCACAGTTCTCTCCGCGATTCTCCAAGTTAACATCCCTTTTTTTTATTTTTTATCCAGTCCAAGTAAAATCAGTGCGCAGTTTCGGCATACGAATCTGACCGAAGAATCCACCAGCTTCCGACGATCTCAATCAGTAGTAACCCATACGGCACAAATTGTTGCAGAAAGGTTTCAGAAAGATTTCAAAATTATTTCGATATTTCACATTTCATGCTCAACATTTCTGACAGAATTCTGCAATATATCATATAAAATGATGCGACAGAAATGTTTCAGAAATCTATCATATGCAATAAATTTAAAAAAATAATGCGAATATTACAAAAAGATTTTTCTCGTCTTTTGAGTCACATATATGGAACGTTGAAATGCTTGCCGCACTGCAAAAGACGACACGGTAGCCCATCAACTTACAACTTTTGTAAAAGTATAATAAAGCAATGATTGACTACTGCGTCATCTTTTAAAATTTCAAAATATTGAAATAATTTTGAAATCTTTCTGAAACCTTTCTGTAACCATTTATGTTGTATGGGTACAAGCAGTCGCTTAAGTCACACGTTTTCTTTTCTTTTCATTTTGTTTCGGCTCGACGACCTCCTTTCCCCCTATCAATTTTTATTTTTATTCTGAGGGACCTTCGCTAGTTTTAACTTTCTCGTCCATGCTCTTGCGGACTAATTCCAAATATCCATTCACTAAAAATTCGTTTTGTGTCCCAGGATTCCGCTTTAGCGTGAATCCGACACGATTCGAAGAATTCCATTCTTCAAAAATTCGTTTTGTGTCCCAGGATTCCACTTTAGCGTGAATCCGACACGATTCGAAGATTTCCATCCTTCGAGAATTCGTGTTGTGCCCCTGGATTCCGCTTTTAGCGCGAATCCGGTACGACTTCGCTTTCTCTTCTAAACTCTCATCCCGAAATTATCCACTCGTAGATTATTAATAACCAGAAACTCTAGCCAAGCTCCCTAATTCGATATATTTTACTGGACTCACGGGATCCACTCAAACCAGGAGAAAGTCGCGAGCCGTAGTCAAACGTTTAAGGAACCTGAGGAATCGGCATGCGCGTCGGTTAGCCACTCTAAATAATATTTCTCAGGATGATCACTCCTCTTCTCCCACTTTTCCCTCCTTCCTCCATAATAATTAAAAACCACGAATAAATCTCACACCCCTACACATACAAATACACACAGTCACATCCGCGAAAAATGTAAAAATCCGATAATCCAAATGTACATATAGCGTTAACACATATAAATGTAACACCTATTGATCTTTTTTAGTTAGTAAAAATTAGCCTTTATTTTATTTTATTTCTTTTTCTCTCAAATACAATGTCAAGAGTTAAAATTACCTTCTTTTTATTTTATTAATCCTAATCTAATGTCTAGATGTAGACAAATCTTAAATATATTACTATGTTAAACCTATCTCTTTCTATTTCATTTTATTTCTAAGGACCTCACCCCCCCTTCGTTCCCCTTTGAGAGTGCACAAGGTCCGTTCCATGGTAATAGGGATTAATTTCCTTGACCTAAAATAGGACCTGCGATCGCACCGCTCTTGAAAAGAGTCATAGTGTCCTCACGGACATTGGCCCTTTTAGGGCCTTAGAAAAGTGCGTTCGGCTCGCTTCCACGCGCCTCCGAGCGTGTTAGCGAGATATTTAAACTTGCTAGTTGCGTCATTCCATACCTCCACATTCCGAGAGGTTTTGACGTAACAGTATAAAATAAACATTTTTTAAACCGTTTATTCAACATATGGATTTTAAATGTAAAATGAATGTTTTTTAAATGTTTAATAAAATTTTTTTTTAATAAACGTTTTTCGTAACAAAAATTTGCAAATGTATCTAAATATGCTAAAATAAATATGTATTTCTAAAGATGATAAAACTAAAGCCCAAACGTGGACAAAAATTGGATGTCCATAAGATATCCCGTAAAGGATATCCGTTCAAGGTATACGACAACAGACGTCCGTTAAATGTCCATTTCACGTCCACGGACGTTCGGACGTTAATTGGACTTAAACTGGACGTCCACAGGACATCCTGTGCTATCTGGGAACATGATCAGCAAAGAGGTGGCACTATCAAAAATTACAAAAATTGGATTTCCGAGAATTCAAATCGCGAAAATCGAGAATCCAGAAAATGGCAAAGTATCAGGAGAACATGATTAGCAAAGAGATGGCACTATCAAAATTCCACGAATTGGATTTCCGAGAAATTCCAAATTCAAATCGTGAAAATCGAAATTCGAGAAAATGACAAAGTATCAGGAGAACATGATCAGCAAAGAGGTGGCACTATTAAAAATTCCAAGAATTGGATTTTCGA